CTACTGCAATAAAGCAAGAAAAATAAGTACAGTTAGGAGGAAGTAGTCCTGGTGTTCTCTAGCATAGTGGGGTAGCAGTCTATGACAGGGGCCAGGGAGATGGCTCAGTGGAATAAGCGCTTCCCTGGCAAGCGCAAGGGCCTGAGTTCAATCCCTGGTTTCGAAAGAAAAAGTAGTCTACGACAAATTCTAGCTGTGTGCAATGGTATGTGCCTCTCTGTCCCACCTACTGGGGAATCTGAGGCAGGAGGATCACGTTTTAGTAGTGAAATGTCTGGAGTATAGACAGGGCCATACACCCAGAGTCTTCAGGGCTGGGTGGGTGTGAAGGTGGAGGAGCCATTACTCCTGGTTTGGAGACTTTGTTTCTAAATTTAAAAAAAAAGAAAAAGTCGGCCCTGATGACACACACCTGTAATCCTAATCCTTGAAGAGGATAAGGCAGGAGGGTCTGTGAGTTTGAGGCCTGCCTGGGTTTACATAGCAAGTGGTGTCTCAAAACAAGCCAAAATAGTCCGGGGAGATGGTTCAATGGAATAAACGCTTGCCTGGCAAGAACAAAGGTCTGAGTTCAATCCCCGGTTCCAGGGTGGGGTGGGGGAGCCAAAATAAATAATAAATAAATGTGCTAACAGTGTAGCTCCTTAGGAAGGCCGTTTTAATCCCTGCTCCTCCAAACATAGACATGCAAAGATGGAAGGAACAGGGCAGAGTGAGGAAAGATACACGCAGGGCCCGGAGGCGGTGTAAAGGTCCTGTGGAGATGTGACAGAGGAGTTCCACGTGTTGGGAACAGCGCATGCAAAGGCACTGAATTGCTCAGCACGGCCGCAGTTGAGGCAGCGAGGCGACTGGCACATGGTGCAGAGCGGTGTAGGCCAAGGGTCGCAAAGCCTAACTTTTGCGCTAAGTGACCGTGAGACCCATTCAGGGGTCTCAGCCGAGGAAAGACACGAGCTGGTGAGCTCTGAAGGGCTCCAAGGTTAGTGGCATTTTATTAAGCACATTCTGATTTCCAGACACGGTCGTGTTCAAATCGGTTTCATCGCATTTCGTTCTCCCAGGGGCTTCATAGCCATCTTCACAGAAGGGAGACTGAAGCTCAGAGTTGGTCAGTGGCCAGGGCCATACACCCAGCGTCTGCAGGGCTGGGCGGGTGCGAAGGTGGAGGAGCCAGCCTGTCCCTCCCCCAAGCCCTCAGACGAGCGGCAGTGGCCGCGGAGCGAGCCCATCGGCTGGCTGCGTCTGTGTCCCTGGCTGTTTCTATTTCCACCGGCCCTGTCTGTCTCGGCGCGTCTCCATCTGTGCCCAGAGCCGCCGCCGTCTCTCTGCTGCCGGCCCCCGCACAGCCGAGCTATTTCGGGTTTAGGCACCAAAGCCCAACAGCTCGAAGACGCTTCCTCCGGCCCCCGGCTCGGACCACGCGCAGCACGCGGCCAGCTCAGGGAGCTCCCGGGCTTGTCCGTGGGATCCCCTCACGGGGAAGCCCCCGGGAGGAGGGGGCTGGGGCGACTTGGCCCCCCAGCGGCAGAACCTGGCATTGACGCTGCGTGGAGCTCCGTCGTGCGTCAGCTGTTGTCCTGGCAACGGCCGTACACGTCACCGCCAGGCCATGCGTCAGCCTCTTGCTGACGTCACGCCCCTGGAGAGTCAACGGACAAGGGGCGCAGTGGGTTCCAAGACTGGCCGACAGGGGGAGTCCCTAATGGCGGATGCCCTCGTTTGATCCTGCAGGTGGCCTTGGCCTAGGGTGATATGGCTCCCGCAAACTCCACCTCACAGACACTCTAGGTTGGCGGGATGAAGAGGAGTCGCAGCTCCCTGTCTGTGGCCGGGATCGGGGACGAGGTGCGAGGGGCGGGACCTTAATGGGGGCGGGGCGGAGGCCATAGCGGGAGGGGCTTAGGTCTCAATGGGCGGGGTTAAAGCCTTAGTGGGCGGGGCAGAGACCAGCGCCCTCTGGTGATCAAATCTATTTCCTGACAGTGGCCAGTAGGTGTGTCTACATTACTTTTTGGCCTCAGTTTACTCCTTTGACTCCACTTTTCTGTAACCCGAGTCAAAAGGCTGTCAGCCTTGGGGTGCCAAGCACACGAGTCTTTTCATGGGGCTTCTCAAGTGGGGAAGGGATTTTGGTATTTTGGGACAGGGTCTCACTATGTAGCTCACATTGGCCTCAAACTTGAGAAGATTCTCTAGTTTCAGCCTTGAGGTTTGGGGTCAGGAAGTGGAGAGAGCCACTAGGGTGAGATCTTGAGTGTTCCAGATGTGTAGGAAGGAGGGGACCACTAACATTAAGGCCAAGAGGAGGCCAACTGGATGTGGTGGCTAGGAAGAGACCCTACCCACATGGGCTAGGGGGCCGGGGAGATGGCTCAGTACAATAAGCGAAGCGCAAGGGCCTGAGTTCAATCCCCGGTTCCACCTGCTCTGATAGCTAGGTGGGGGCATTCCTGGGGGAGGGACCCAGTCGTTGCAGGCCAGGTCATTCCCCATCCCACCCGTGTCTTCCACAGAGGCCCAGGGAGACCTCGGAGGCTGGCCACACCAACATGTTTGGGGCTGACCTGAGTCACCCTCGCCGCCGCCTCTCATCTGGTCCTGGCCTGGGCTGGGCCCATCCTGGGCCCTTGGACCCTAGTGTCCCGCTGCCCCTACGGCCCACCACGCTGCCGCTGCTGATTCCACCTCGGATTTCCATCACCAGGGCAGAGGCCAACAGGTAGGGAGGAGGGGAGCCAGGCAGGGAAGGTGGGGAGGCTCAAGGCCAGCTGGGCAGGGACCAGCCAGCAGTCCTCGGACAGCTTTGGGCTCCCTGTTTTGCAAAAGTAGCTGAACTCCATCTGGTGAGACTGTGACATCCCTCCCTGCTCTACCCAAGGCCGCTTTGAAGCTTCCTTCCAGGAACCTCCTTTTCCATTTTTCCAAGCTGCCTGGATCAGCAAGGTGCTGTACAGAAATCTGGGGTCCTCCTGGTGCACTCTACCCCTTGGCTCTCGGATGAGTAGAAAACAGTGAAGCTGGTCTTGCCTGCTGGTCTGCCTGATGTCCTGTCTAGACCACTGCTCTCTGTAGTCCCCAATGTCACTGTCATCCCCCTTACTCTGTGTCCCTCTAGTGACTCAAAAGGTGAAACCCAGGATTTCTCTTTGGTCCAGATACAAGGCCCACTTCCGGGTGGGGAGAGAAGTGACTGTCATTCCTCCCAGGGCCCTTCCCCCATCCCTCTAGCTTCTGTTTGGTTCAAGTCCAGCCAGATTCATCTCAGGACTCCAGTCTCAGCTCCAAATGACAGCCCTGGCCCACTGCCTCATCCCTGACCATTCCTTCTGCAACACCCCCATTCCCATCCCCCAGCCAGAGCTCCACCTGAGCTTTGCAGAATATGGCCCACCTAGGGACCCTCACACAACCCAGGGAAGCCCTGCGGCCCTGCAGATCCCTTGGAAGCCTTGGGGGAGGAGATCACACTCTTGGCCTCTGGGATACCCCGCGGCTGCTGCTGGCGCGCGCGCGCGGGGGGGGGGGGGATTCTTGCTCCTCGTTCGCCCACGCCAGGAGCCCCCTCCGGCGGGGAGAAAAGTGGTTGTGGAGGTTGGAAGCGGGAGGGTTCTTTTTTTTTTATAAAGAGAACAGCCCCGGGGAAGGGCAGTGGCAGACGGCACGGCTTGCCCCAGGGAGCCCGGGAGAGGGGGCGCACGAGGGTGCGGGTCTGGCTCCCCGGAGCATGGATCTGAGTGGTCTCAGGTCTGAGCGGGGAGCGCTTTGGGGGCCACGAGGGCATGACCACCCCTACCCTGCAGCGCGCCGCGGCTTGGGGGATGGGGCGCGCTCGGATCCCGCTTGTTCTTTGCTCGCTCGGCGCGGCGCTGGGGGAGGCGGGAGCGTGAGTCACGGCGACTCCGGATTTAGGTGCCGGAAGGGGGTTTCTGCCGGCGGGGGCCGTGGGGCGGAGGCTCGGCTGTTTACTCTCCTGAAAAGGGCACGGCGGTGTGCCTCGCAGCCACCGAGACCTGCCTCAGTTTACTTTTGGATGAGCTTTAGAAGAGAGCGATATATAGAGCGGTGAGCGGACAGCCGCAGTATCCGCCACAGGGCGTCCTTCTGCAGCCACACAGGAACCAAAGGGACACACCCCAGAGACAACCCAAAGAGACCCCGGCACACAGAGATTCCCTCTGACACTACAGCCAGACGAAGGAGGCCGACTCCTGTGCACAGCTCTGCAAGCACATACCGAGCACAGTGTACAGCCACCACGCATGGGAACGCAGCGAGGCCCCCAGACCACCGGAACAGACCCCGGAGACGCGCACGCCCTCCAAACAGTCGGCGCACGTGCGCACGCAGCTATCACCCCCCAGACCTGGATCCACACACAAGGCAAAACAGAGAAACAGGCAGACAGGAGCAGCCAACCACGTGCACACACACATTTCTATCCAACATCGAAAACAGCCCTCGGAAGGTGCCACGTGCGAGTACATCCCGCCCTGGGCAGGCACAGTCACCATCCTCCGCCCCTCTGCTCGGCGATTCCTGGACCCCGCCACAGCCTGCCGCAGGCACTGTACGCGTGACACCGGGACCCCTCCTCAGGAAATTCCCCCGGCTGCGGGGTATCTGAGAGGACACGCCAGCACCCGGCTCCGCCTCCATAGTGATGGACAGACTGACTAAGGCGCCAGCAACCAGTCGGGTGTCTTCTGGCCGATCAGATTAACCGTTTAACTCATTCACTCCCGTGCGCGCCGCGGTGAGGCAGGGCGCTCTGGGGAGAGCTGAGTGCCGGTGCCCCCTCCCCGCCGGGAGCAGGGCTCTGCGTGGGCAGCGAGGGCCCCCTCCTTGGGTGGCTGCCCCCCACTGGCCAGGACGGAGGAGGAGAGGGGCGGCGCTGACAGCCGCGGCGGGCGGGGGGCAGGGAGGGGCGGGACGGGGCGGGGGAGTCGGGGCTGGCGCGGAACGCGGAGAGCGCAGCCGGGCTCGGAGCCGAGCACCAGGAGCAGACAGGAAAGCAAGGCGCCCGGCCCGGGGGCGATCGGCCCGCAGCGCCCCCGGGTCTGTCCCCGGGGCGCCATGGCCCCACTGAGGCCGGGCGCACCCGCGGGGCTCCGGGCGCGTCGGCTGGCGCGCAGCTGAGTAGGGTGCAGCCTGTAAAGGCCGGGGCCACCCCCGGGGCGCTGGTTAGGGGGACCGGCGTTATGGAGCCCCCGGCCGCCACTTCGGAGAGGAGCCTGTCTCTATCTCTGCCCGGGCCCCGGGAGGGCCAAGCCACCCTCAAGCCGCCCCCCCAGCACCTGTGGCGGCAGCCGCGGACCCCGATCCGTATCCAGCAGCGCGGCTACTCCGACAGCGCGGAGCGCTCGGAGCCCGAGCGGCCGCCACACCGGCCCATAGAGCGCGCCGACGCCGTGGACACCAGCGACCGGCCCGGACTGCGCACGACCCGCATGTCCTGGCCTTCGTCCTTCCATGGCACTGGCACAACCAGCGGCAGCGCGGGCGGAGGCAGCGGCAGGCGGTGAGACTCCGGGAGGCGGATGCGCGCGGGGCGCCAGGGCACGCAGGGAGGGCGCAGAGCGTCCCGCCGACCGCAGGGGGCGCTGTGACGCGGGTGGGGTCGGTGCGATTGGCGGGGGTGGAGAGGGGAGTTCAGCTACGGGGGCGTAGGGGACCGGGGTCTCTGTGTAACCACTAAAGCCAGCTCTATGTCGAACTACGGGGTGCCTGTCGCATGGGGGGTTAACAGGGTCTGGGTTGGAGAAGGGGCCACAGCTTCGGAGAAGAGCCTAGGTGATGGTGCAGGACAGCGGCTAGACAGTGCGCTCACCTGGAGAGACTTTCCCAGGGGCACAGCACTGAGGGGTGGCTTTCCCGTTTGGGGTTTCCTGGCGTTATGCCAGGGGACTTCGGCTGGGACCACACTCAGCTTCCCACTGGACACTCAGGGTCCTCCTGAGGGATAGAAGCTTCTGTGAGGGGCCGCTGGTGACTTGTCCTGCACCAGAAGGGGCCGACATAGAGACAGGGCTCTGGGATACGTCATGCGTTGCCTGTGTGTTAGGATGGTACTGCTCTCAGGGCAGGAGCTGAGTTATATAGCTGGCCAGAAGCAGGGGACAGTGCTTGGGGCACACAGCTCCAGAGCATGATGACTGAGTCTCTGCTTCTTCAAGGGACTTAAGGTTGGGGTTGCCTGAGTCCGCCTGCTCTGAGGATATCCTGCCACTGACTTCAGTTTGCCCTGGTTACTGTGTGGCCAGCTGCCACTGCCTTGGCAGTGTGCTCTCCCTGGACTGCTGGAGTCCCGTGAAGGTGACGTGGTTCCTTTGTGCTGCCAGGTTACTGTGTCTGTGACATGGTAGCTATGGGGAGTTACAATCTCCAGGCAGAGTGATTGTGACAGCACGCTCTGTCTGCTGCACTATGCCGTGACTGCCATAGGGTGACTATCCTCATGGGACGCAGTGACTGTGTGTTCCAGGAACACAGTGCTTTCTCAGGGTGACTGTCTATACTTCTGGGACAGGGACAGGGACAACATGACTAGGTGTGCTTCCAGGAGAGCGTGGTTGTGATGCGGTGGCAGTGTGCATTCCAGGAGGGTGATGGTGACAAAGCCCTGTGTGCTTCTGGAGCAGCAGTTGTGACAGTGAGCACGCCATGTGTGCTGCAGGGGTGCTGTATTCGTGCGTCCTCGAGGAACACAGTTAGTGTGACCACTGTGCTCCAGGACAGTGATTGTGAGATGGTGCCTGCATTCGAGGGACAAGCTGACAGTTGACGGTATGTCTTGAGAAACAGTGGCTATGTTTTCATCTGCCCTGTGCACATCTGAAGTCAGAGCCCTGACTTGGGGACTGTCCTTGCTGCTTATCCGGGATGTCCTAAAAACAGGTGTCCCCTTCTGAGTAATCGTCCCTAGGTAGCCTGGTGGTGCCCCAGCGTGTGACTGTGTCCCAATAATGTGACTGACAATTCACCCACATCACTTGGGGAGTTACTCACAAGCTCAGATTTGAGTTTCTCAACACCAGAGTCCCCAAGTGAGACCCTAAGCTGTGATCTTTTTCTCTTAGGTCCCTCTGGGGACTTCCACTGGCCACCTCCACTGTTCTGTTCTGCCCTAGCACCCCTGCCACCAACCCCTATGAAACAAGTGACAGCGATCCAACACACAGTGTGATATTTCCCTGGAGAACCCAGACAGGGGCTGAGGGAAAACAAAGCTAAAATCAACAGGAAATGCCAGGACTTGGGGCCGGCAGCCAAAAGGGCTCAAGCCACTGTCCCGTGGGGGGAGGGGGACAGCAAGCTCCATTCCCTTTTAAGGCCCTAGGGATTTCCTCTACTGTGGTCTCCACAGAGGCAGTGGCAGCTCTCAAGGGACAGGGGCTGAGTGGTGATAATCATAATTATTTCAGTAACATCGGTTTCTTAATGGCTTTGTCACAGGCTTCATGCCAGGAACTTAGCAGGTGCTCCTTAAGGTATCCTGGTCAGACAGATGAGGAAACTGAAGTCCACAGAAGCAATTCACACATGCGCGCGCGCGCACACACACACACACACACACACACACACACACACACACACCCTGCTCATACACCCAGAAATGGCACAGAGCTGAGATTCTAGGCCAGGTCTGCCTGGTGCCTGTGTGGCTTTTCCTCAGGATCCTGCCCTCTCTGGGCCTCTGTTGCCTGGCAGGAAAGTGCAGTTGTGGCTAGCATGGGCCTGCTGGTCAGTTTGAGAGTTCTGTGCTCTAGGATTTGTGTGAAGGACTTAACCCGGCAAGTGCGGAGTAGATTATCTCCCAGGATGCCGCTGGACACTGCTTCTCCCCAGTGGGGATTAGAAGCGGGAAGCTCCTCCATGGCCTGCAATACTGCTTCTCTGGGAGAGAGTGTGGGCTCCGGCTGGGTGGACCTACGGCCCGTCCCTGTCCTGAGTAGGAGCTAGAAGACCCCCCAGGGCCTCCTCCAGGGACCCACATTTCTCCAGAAAGGGTTCTCTAGAGCAGCTCCCCATCCTGGAGTCCATCCAGCCACCAGGAAGTGGGTCCAGCCAGTCTCCTACACTTAAGCCTTGGAGACCCCCAGAGAGGAGACCCTGCCCACTGGCACCCCGGGCCTAACCTGGGGGTGCAGAAGGCTGTCATCCTGGCAAGTCTTGCGGGGCTGAGTCACGCACCCCACTAGCTGTTAAGAAGCAGATGGAAGAGGAGGGCCTGGAGGGGAAAGAGGGCTGCCTGGCTGGGGGTGGCCCCCCCGCGCACGCCTACTCCTCTTGTTGGGGCCCAAACCCTCACCCTTGCCGGGCGATGGCCCCTGGGGCAGGTAGGAGAACCCTGTGCGGTTCTGTCTCTAGCCCGTGGTCTCTGTCTTCGCTCGAGATTTCCCCCGCCCCGTCCCCTGTGCTGCTCTCAGCCCGGGGGTTGCAGCGGGTCTCGTGCGCGCCCTGCTGGGCAGAGGGGAAGTGACAGCCCGCGTGCGCTCCGGGTCGTCACCTGCCTGGCGCCGGCCCGGGCCCCGCACTCCGTATTATTATTTCATGCATATTGAGCGACTACGTTTGCGGGCGCCAGGCCGGCTGACCACAGGCCGCGGGGGAGGGGCGGGCCTCGCGCTCCCCTGGGTGGGACCCGAGCTCTGTCCTCAGAGCTGCCTGGCAGACGCGCAGGAGCTGGGCTGGGAAGTTGTGCGAGAGAAGTTCAAGTCCCGCCTCCGCGTATTCGCGCCCGCCCGCGTGTCACTGCGAGCGTCCTTGTCGCCCCACTCCTACCCAGAAGACAGAGACAGAGGGACTTGTGCAAGGTCACAGAACCAGGAAAGGCAGAGTTAGGATTTAAAAACAGTTCTGAGAGTGGTGGTGCATGCCTGTCAGCCCAACACTCCGAGGCTGTGGCAGGAGGATCACCTCCAGTTCAAGGGCAGCTGAACTACATAGGGAGACCCAGTCTCAATAAAACAAAACAGGGCCGGAAATGGCTCAGTAGCATAAGCCTGCCTGGCAAGTGCAAGGACCTGAGTTCAATTCCCAGGACCACATAAATAAATAGGTGAAGGAATCAGAGCTGTGTGGACAGAGTTCAGTGTGAGGGCCCCAGGTGCAATCCCCAGAACCTACAAACAGAACTCCCCTCCAGGCTGCAGCAGGGTGTAAGAGTCACACCACAGGGGCCAGGGAGATGGCTCAGTAGAATAAGCACTTGCCTGGCAAGTGCAAGGGCCTGAGTTCAATCCCTGGTTCCGAAAAAAAAAAAAAAAAAAAAGTCACACCACAGCCTGGCTTGCTGCCTTGCTGTGTGATCCAGAACCAGACCGCCTCCCTCTCTGAGCCTCTCTTTCCTCAGCAGTGACTTCAGGCTAGAAAAGAAGCACCCCCCGCCCCCGTGGGCTGTGGGGAAGCTGCAGGGCTGCCTATGCCCTGGCACCCAGGGCGCTGTCTCAGGATAGCATTTCCTCAGATGACAGCGGAGGGAAGCAGCCACAAGCTGCTCACCCAGCCCAGCTAGGCTAGGGACTGGCTGCAGAGACTCTGCGGCACAGGAATGCGAGTCCTTGGCCCAGGGCTCCTCAGCCTGGCAGGGTGAGGACGGAGTTTTTGTTTCCTGCAGGACTGGGGGTTGAACCCCACAGCCTTCACTCGGAGCTCCATCCCCAAACCTTTATATTTTTCATTTTGGGACAGGATCTTGCTAAAATCACTAAGTTGCCCAAACTTGGCACAAACTTGCAGTCCTGCCTCAGCCTCCCCAAGTGCTGGGGTGGCAGGTGCTGCCCTCACTGTTTCTATTCCTTCGCCCTTTTCTTGCTCTGTGGTTTTCCCTGCCGAGCCTCAGTTTCCTCACCTGTCACGGGATCATTCATTGTATTGATGCCCGCTTGAGACCGACAGCAGCTCAGAGTCTGATTGAGCCAGTCCTGCTGCCTGGGACTCGCAGACTAGTGGGTGAAGCAGAAATAGCAGTGAAGATAAAGCCATCCGGTAATTATAGATGGTGACATGTGGGCTAGGAGGAACAGAGGGAGCCTGAGGTCAGGCAAGGCTTCTCTGAGGTGACATTTGAGCAGAGACCTAAATAAACTGAGGGGAGATGCTCTGTGCAGATCTGCCAGAAGAGGGAGCCAGCTGGGGCAGCAGCAGCCAATGCAAAGGTCCTGCGGTAGAAATGGGAGCTGGGGAAGGACACAGGAAGCGGGGGAGAGTGGAGGAACTGAGGAGGAGAAGTGATGGGGAGCTCAGAGCCCAGTGATGGGCTGGGGCTGACTTCCTAAGAAAGGGGACAAAGCTCACAGGGCTGGAAGGAAACATGTACAACGGACCTGTATAGCCTCACAGCTAAAGTTCCAGGAGTCTCTGACCAAGTTCTGCTTCCTGAGGGATGGATGACCCAGCCAAGCTGTGCTGCTCCTGTCTGGACCTCAGTTTTTCCATCTCTGAAATGGGCTTTGTTGCTCAGGGCCCTGTATTAATACAGAAATAGCCAGGGCAGAGGAGGCCCAGCCAGGCAGGGGA